ATAATAGAACAAGAGAGCTTATTTTTCCTTAGGTGGTCTAATTATTCTTTCCTTCGATATACAATATGATATTTAATGACTGACATATTGTTGATGGCAGTAAACGAAAAGATCAGGGTTAGAGCGAGAACTTACTTCGTAAAACAAGTTTTCCGAAAACATCCGACTGATTGAAGATTGAACAATTCCATCGTTGATTTCGAAACTGATATTGGCATTCGTCAATTGCTTGTCGTAAAGATCGACTAATAATAGTAAATATTTTCGGATTAGTTTGACAGAGATAACGTTGTTCGACAGTTAAAAATGTTAATGAAGAACAGAACGCTTCTTGGTCACTTGAAGTTGACGACCATATTTGAAATGAAGGTAAACTCAGAGACCTTAAATAAAAACAGATAGACATCATGCCTGTAAGGGTATCATTATTTTCGAAAAAATGACGTTAATGTTTTCTAACTCGTTTATCTATCGTCAAGATCTCTTAATTAAATAGACCAAAGAAATATCAAGAATATTTACCACCAAAATGCTGAACTAGCTTGGATCAGAAGAACGAAAGTAAAGAGGATTTGTTGTTGTTGTTGTTGCCGAAATAGATACATGATATGTGATGTTGTGTACGAATGATTAAATTTGAATTAGTAGTATAAGTATGTTTATATTTCTATGTGTATATGTTTAAGAATACAAAACGGGATGAGAGACGAGACAAATTGATGCTTTACTACTATTATGATTACTCTCGTCTTACGTGTGTCGTTGTCGAGAATACAATAATGATGACAGGCAGACTTGTGCGCAGTGTTTATGTATGTATGTATCGATCAAAACTATGGTGTGACGACAGAAGAAGAAGAAGGAGAGAAGAAGCGAACATTTTTCTTCTTTTCTGTGCTTACGGGAGAGAGAGAGAGAGGGAAAGGAAGCCAGTCTATGGACAGATATTTTCTTTCTTTAACGACGAAAAAGAGGAGAGAATAGAAGAGAGGGAGAGAGAGAGGGGGACAAGGTGAAAGTGATATAGTCTCAATTAGCGAGGTGTGTATAGATTTCATTCGAAGAAAAAAAAGAAAACTGTTGATTGGCTTTTCTTGGAGAAATCAAAATTAGTTATCTTAGAATGTAGTCAACAGTAAAAAATGAAGAAGAAAACGAAGGAAATACAATGATGGAGTGAACATCCGGTGTTCGTTGAAACTTCTATATGCAATTTCTCCCTGAATGTAAAGCACTTGAAATTGTTTGCTTACTGATCGCATATTCATATTTCCGATTCTCTCTCGTTCTTTTTTTGCTTCTATCGAAATTCATTGAATCGTCAAGAGTATGAGAGCTAGGCTGAGACTAGACTAAACCGCATATCACAACACCTAGATGGACGAAAACAAAAATGTCTGAACTATTGATTTGATTTAATAAAAATACAAGAGAGAAGTTCATTTGATTTTCTTTCGATTGTTCATTGAACAACTTTAATCTTTTTGTCTGGCCGGTACTCAAATTATCTTGTTAATCGTCAACTTATACAAGCCTCCCTCTGTGTATATATCATCAAAGACAAAACGATGATGAACAAGAAGAAGAAGAAGATCCCATGTTGAGCTACTGTATTGGTTCACTGAGCGAAAATGTATTATGTCAAAATTGGTCTATGATTGTGCACACATAAGCAGGCCTGCTTAATATCATCATAATCATCATCATTATTGCATCTGTCCTCTTTCTCGATTTCTCATCATCAGTATGTCTTTGAAAAATTCAACAGCTGTCTTGCTCGCAGTGACTATGTTAGATCATCTTTGAACGAGATTTTTTTGGCACCAAATACAACAAACGAGCGGCCAATATGTTGTTAATATGTGCATGTGTCGAGGCATGATAATGTTCATATAACAAATAGTAAAATATGCACATAAAAGAGAAAAAAAAAGAGAACAAAGAGCAAATGACTAATGCGCGAACAGAACTTTTGACGAACAATTTAGGCACGCTGATACCAGCTTGTAAAAGATTAAAAGGAAAATTCGTGTAAATATGCTGTTTTTATTTCCTGTCACTTGAATAACATTGTCATCGATGAACGAGGTGAGAAAAGATTCGTTCGAGGATGAACGTCAAATAGATTAGTTTTCTTCTGTATACAATTGATTCATATCGCACATAAACGGCTTAATTTGATTTCGATAACATCATGTTGTTGTTAGAAACAAGGAGATAGGTAAACAGACAAGAATGACGATTATCTAATCGAAGATTTCAAAATAATCATTCTATTTTGAAATTATTCCAACTCGGTTGTATTCGATTCACGATCTCGTACTGATCGTAATCGTTTTTTGATTTAATTCACGCCGTTTTTCATGTGTTATACTATTTAACGATTAAATAATCAGTTGCATATTCAATGAATTCTCTTTTACTGCTTGTGATTCGAATCAAACATTGCAAAAAAAAAAGAGAAAATGCGAACAGTGCAATACAAATATACATCAATGATAAATTAGAATATCAATGAAAGAAAAAGTAAATAGTACCTGAATGAGTGCGAAAAGATATTCGTATTGTTCAATCTGAGTTATAGATGATTATTTGATACATACAGCTATCTTTTGTTATACGAATAAATATCTTGATATTGATGTGTCTTACGATCAACGGTGGTGATCGATCGGTTTGATCGCGTGCAATATTAATTGATAGGCAGATCAGTCGTCCTCCTATGATTGACGAAATTTAATTGTAGACACAAAACTAATCGTATTCATATGCATTCTAGAAGGTGAAAAGATTTTACTACTATATCATGTATTCTCTGATTAGAAGACCTCCGTGACTATCAAGTCATTCAGTATACTAAAACTAAAAGATTAATTATATGAATCTCTTCAGAAAATAGCGTCATCTGTCGTACTTACTCAATAACTATTTTCCAATCATATAGACCAGGCCAGCCGTTATGTGTCATGAATTTCGTCATCACCTTCTTTTAACGATTTGCATTGTATATAAAGGTTCGAAAGGTTTATTTTTCTGAACGAGTATGAATGCAAACGAGATGAGTACGTGGCAGTGAAATGGAATCTCTCAACTATCGTCCTGGCTAAGATAATGTATTGGAAACACAATGATTGCTATATTTCAGACTAAGAAAAATGAATGTCGATCATCGGGTAATTGCATTGATTGATATGGATTGTTTTTATGTTCAAGTCGAACAAAGACTACAACCTGAGTTTCTTGGTAAACCATGTGGTGTAGCTCAATATTACACATGGAAAGGGGGTGGGTATGTATATCTCAATGAATAAGCGACAAATATGAAGAAACATCTATTTAGTCTTATTGCTGTTAATTATGAAGCTCGAGATTTCGGTGTAAAACGAGGTAATACGAAAGGTTTTCAGTATTGACAAAGGAACATTCTAATCATGTAGGCATGCGAGGCGAACAAGCAAAAGAACTATGCCCCGATTTTCACGTTTTTCATGTTCAAGAAGTGAACGGAAAAGCAAATTTAACTCGGTAAGATTTTTATTTATCTATCGAGTATAGCCTTTATTTACAATATCACGCAAAAGCAATTTGACAGCTTGTAGTGAAAATTACACATCGAACTACTACTTTTCACAACAGATAAAGGTTGATTAGAGTAATTTTCGATTTAACGAAGGTCACCTTTTTTTTATCATTTGGTTATTGAAATTTATTAAGGACAGTCTACGACACATAAGTGTTCGAATCATGCTGATTATAACTGCATAATACACATCGATAATTGTTTACGAATTAAATTCTTGTCGCGCCGTGCCTATGATTCCAAAGGCCACGGTCATGTTAAGCAGAGATTTATCTATATGTAATACAGATGGAAGGACGGTTTCACATCGTCATTCTCAGCTAATGAGGTTCACACCAGGGTTAAATGCACTTGATGATATTGTGAGCATCGAGCTCTTTATCGTACTAGCTTTCAATCGAAATCTGAACTAATTCATGTGTATTTTCTTCTATTCAAGGTACCGAGATGCAAGTGCCGATGTTTTTCGTGTTCTCAATGCCGATTTCAAACTTGTTGAGAAAGCCAGTATTGATGAAGCTTACCTTGATCTGACTGATGATGTTCAGAAATTAAAAGAGAACAAACCTAATTTAACAATCGATGATTTTCCATCAACACATCTGGCCAGTTGCACAACGAAAAATGAAGATGAACGTGTAGAAGCAATCGAAAACTGGCTAAAGAATAGTCAATCAGATGATGGAAATCGAAATCTCGATCTAGTTCTTGGGGCTTATCTTGTCGAAGGAATTCGAAAGAAAATCAAAGAAGAAACTGGATTCTTCTGTTCTGCTGGTATCGCGAGAAACAAAGTAATCCCTTTTGTACATCATTATCCATATCTTAAACTTGATTATTCTAGGTTTTAGCAAAATTATGCTGCGGTTTTAATAAACCACGAAAACAAACTATATTTTCCACTTCGGACATTGATTGCGTGTTCGATAAGACACCGGTCCAGAAAATGTAAGAAAGAACAGCGTCTTTACAAGGTTTTTTATTCGATAGTTTCAGTCAAGGTTTGGGCGGCAAAACCGGTGAACGCGTTACTGAATTATTTCAAGTCGATTATATTGGTCAATTAAGAAAATACTCACTCGATGGACTTCAAACATCTCTTGGTGACAAAGACGGTTGTTGGTTGTACAATTTAATTCGAGGCATTGAGACTACACCTGTAAATAGTCGAAATCTGTACAAATCAATTTCAGCAAGTAAAAACTTTCCAGGCAAAACATCGTTAGATACTAATGAAAAAGTAAGCTTCAGATTCGAAGACATATGTTCAATTCTATTTCAACTATGTTAGGTCCGTACTTGGTGTCATAATCTAGCTGAAGAAGTTTTTAATCGGTTAGAAAAAGATCGAGCAGAGGTACTGTCTATGATATGAATTCGCTCTATCTTGAAGTTAAACGAGGATTTTCCTAGAATAAACGCCGTGCAAAACTCTTAACCGTTACATGTACAACGACGACGAACGAAACAATTGCACGTTCTTGTCCATTAAATGAATATTCAATCGATCGATTTGCCAATGATGCATATCGTATACTGAAACAATTCAATAAAAGTGCATCAGGATCCAATGTTTATTCGCCAGCGATTATCAATCTTGGTATTGGCGCCGGAAAGTTTCTCGATAGTGTCAATACAAAATCCATTGCGGATCTATTTTCGAGACAGACGTCGAAAATGGAATCAACGGGAAATACGCTCAATATGCAAGAGTCAGAGCAGGCAGATGAAGAAAGTGACGATGATGCTGAAACTGTTACACAGAAGCCAGCAGTAACAACAAGCTCACCAATGAAAGGTGATTTTTTTCGAAAGTTTCAGCAGAATGAAGAACGGTTAAAAACTCCGCTCAAGCCTGAACCAAAACCAAGTTCATCGATAACATCTTTCTTCTCACGTTATTCAACAAATGAAAACAGTGCTCAGTCGTCGCCGGACAAATCCGATGATCGATATGTAACTTGTTCGAAATGTAACAAATCAATTTTAGCATGGGATATGCCCGAACACGAAGATTTTCATTTTGCACGTGAATTACAAATGGAGGAAAACAAAAATTCCTATCAAACATTAGTCGTACCGAAGCCAACAAAACCGATTAAGCGCAAGAATGAAACACAACCAAGTAATAACAATCAAACACTTGATGCATTTATTAATAAGAAACCGAAAAATTAATAGTAGTGAATCGTGTTGTATTATTATATGAAATCACATATGTTCTGAATGTGTCGAAAATTCTATAGATTATTGAGTGTTATCTTCTTTTCTAGATTATCTTACCTAATTCTATGCATAAAATAGAATATGTTCCGTATTTTTTAACTATTGACTATGCCTGTATCGATATTGGATTTACCCGATGATATCTTACTAGAATTCTGTTGTGGATATCTATCCGTACAGGATTTATGTCACTTGGAGCAAGTGTGTCGACAATTTTATTCGTTACTTAATTCTTATACTTCACCCTGGAAGCGAATTCTTGTCAAATTAACGAATGTTTCGTTTTCTCAATTGAAAAATGCTATCGGCTGTCCAGCATTTGAAGTAAGACAAATAGATGAATTTGTCCCTAGCTAATTATTCATTTTTGTTTAGAACATTTACCAAAAACCTTCAATCATATCCCATCCATTCCATCTCCCACCCGAATATCAACACGAAATTCTGTTTAATCGTTCCAATGAGTTGCCTTCTATTCTTTCAGTCGATTATCGTCGACCATCTAATCAATTAGTTTCTTGTTCGAAAGTTGATTGTGATGTACGTCGTTTTGCGAACGATTACCGCAGTCGAATACCATTAGCATTCCGTTGGAACAGTGAAAATAATTACGTAAATCATACTTTGATTAAATTTGTTCGTCGAACTCAAACTTCATTACTTCAATACGATGAACATAATCATCATCTTTGGTTTTGCAAGGATGGTGCACTGCAATGCTTGAATCTATCAACGAATCAAATTCAGTATTCATATGAATATGAACACGATGATGTACTCTGCTATAAAGTCTATGATCGACATCTAATTGCTCTGGCAAATGGAAATTCGTTGAGAATCATTTGTCGACAAACGAACGATGTTCATACATGTGACAATAATCAAAGCATTGCTTCTGCTGATAGTAAATGGAATGACATACTTTCCTTAGACGTTTACTCCAACGATCAAGAAAGGTATTTGATGATCAATGGCTCACGTGACCACTCTGTTTCGAGTAAGTTGATTAAGTTGATGTTTTACGATTCTGAAAGCACTTTCTATTCTAAGTACGCACCTTTGATATGTCTTCACAAGTTCATCAAATGATCTGGAGCACCAGAGTTGACGATCGTGTTCTGTGTAGTCGATTCACTAGTGATGGACAGCATTTCTTAATTGGTACTGGTAGTAGAACGAATATTTATCCGTTGGTGTTATTCAATACTGAAAGAGCTCAACCAATTCATGTAAGTTCATCTTCTTTTGCAATAAAACTAATTCATTTAATTTCAACTAGGTCTATGATGCAAACTATCGTGTTGGTGCTGGAGTACGTTGTATCGAATGGGTTTCATCGAATGTTTTCATCGCTGCTGGTTTCGATAGTCAATACAAGGAATTTGATTTACGTACAGGCATGTGTCACTATACATTCGATGATGAATTCGGCAATGATTATTGTTCGCTGGCTGTTTCCGCTGATCAAAATAGTGTATCAAACGGCATTGTACTTGGTTGTAATCGTCATTCAACTATTCGTCTTGTTAATCGTAGACAACGACAACTACAAAAGGTCTTTTTTGTTTCCACACAAGTTAGTCCGGTACATAGCTTGGCTATAACACCGGAGTATCTATTTGCATCGGTGGATCGATCTATTGTTGCATTGGATTTTACAAAAAACAATAGACAATTACCTCAAGTTCATTACAGATTTTAAATTTTTTGTGACGACTTTGTTTTCAATGAATTTGTTAAAATACATCGAATATCAAACTTTTGCGATATAAAATGATATTCTATCTGACAATCAACTCCAGTGCTAAACTTGAGGGTGAGGGTGCATGTATGTGAGAGAGGGAGAAAGTAAACATGTCATGTCCTTTCGATGAGTGAGAATATCCATTAAAAAACAATCTTGCAACGTTTACTTAGATGTCGTCATCAAAGTGTACCTCTAAACAATTTGATAATTGGTAACAAAATAAATTCGATCTCTACTTGAATACTTACTCAAAACATCATGACTACATCAACTACATATGTCCATTGGAAAATCCATTTCCATTCTTTAATACACAATTTCAAACTAAATCTGATCAGAAAAATCCTTTGCGAATCAAATTCTACCAACAAGCAAATGCATTGCTCCCTGAAAATCTGCATATTCTACTAACAACATCATTAACTGCTAATCGTTCATTAACGAAACAAGTCGATGTTAACAATATTCTCATTGATAGTTTACTCGATTATGCTTATACAAAATGGAATAGTCAAACTCATGAATATCGTTTTGACGAAACACTATTAAACTATCATCAACAAATCCTTGCACCTCTCCTTAAATATGCATCAAATTATCGCAATATTCATATCTTAGAACGATATGCAAATAAATATCAATCCGAATTACCATTAACATTTGGCTATGTTTTAGCACCATCTATGAGTATTTTCAACGAAACATATTTCAATGCGAATGAAAACGATCGAATCGAAAGTATGAAAATGATGGATTTATTTGCGAAGTTATTACATAATGGGTAAGAGATTATAGTTGTCGAATATAGATTAATATTCTCTCGTGTTCTTTTAGTAATATCAATATCAATTCACCTTATTGTAAAGATAATCAATGTGAAGCCAAAGATAAATGGAAAAATGTGTTTCCTGAATCGAATTTTATTCTACTTCGAGGTATTTTTCAAGCTCTTCTAACTATCTGTTAATCAAACTCATCTTCATATTCTTTTTCTGCCATTTTAGATGGTAATTTCAGTCAAGTAACTGGTCATCATACTCAAGTTCATTATCTATTCAACACTCTTATTTCTAATTTAACTGAACATCCATTTGATACGGATTTGTTGAATACATGGAAGACATTGTATGAAGTTTCACATAGTAGAAATCTTTCAACATATCAATCACTTCATGTTCCATCATCGATATTAACCAAACATTTTTCTCCATTATTCTATTCTCATTTCACCAATCAAAAATATATCTTTATACTTTCATTAAGTGTATTCATTCTATTATTAATCAACTTCTGTATTTGTATTATTCTATCGAGACGTGGACACGGTTGTCGAAAACGTGAATATAATTGTCTCAACAATCATAAACAATTGAATCTGATCAATTCGTCCGAGAATCAACAAAAACAACAACAGCAGCAGCAGCAGAGAGGTGGTTCATCACCTTCGAGTACGAATAGTAATGGGACAATAACAATTGATTCAACACAACAATTAATTATCAATACGAATTCTCACGAACAAGATCATCGTTCATCACCATTATCATCTCTTCTATGTACAACAACAACAACGAATAGTAGTTTTCATAGTACATCACCTGTTGATACAATTCATCCAATAAATATAACGAAGAAAAATGGCATTTTAAAATGTTCGTCAATGAAGAAAATGAATACACTTGTGTCATCCTCTTTACCTGAAGCTATCGTGTAATTATATATAGAAATAAATGTATTTTTTGTTTGTTTGTTTTTTCTAACTTCTTCAATAAACATAACTGTTCGGAACAGTCAGAATGTATGAGATGAAAATATTCTATTTTTGAATCATGTTCAAATCAACAATTTGAACAGAATTTCTAATAGTTGAGTTATCTTAGGAAGTAGATGAGATTGGAAATTGATCTAAAAGTGATTTTTCTTGAACGGAAAACATGAGAAAAAAAGAATCTGTTAATCCTATGTTCTGTTTATGACTATAGAACAATCCTTGATACGGACATCGACTACAATCACAGATGTCACGTTCAATGATAAGTTTGAGATATCTCTACGTATCCTTTTCATCATCACTCCATCAATCTTGACGAACAGGTCTGTAAATGTTATATTCATTTACGTTAAGGTAAAACTCTTCGAGAAGAGATGACAATTTAACGAAATATGACAACCTATAGTAATTTGATTGAAGTATAATTTGTTGTGATAGTTTTTTGTCTAGTACAAATAACAGAAGACGTTCTATTTACAGAACTTGTCTATGTCTTTAACAATATATGACTTTAACTAAGTATTCATATGTCCTTGAATGACAATCATGTCTTTCCTGTTATTCAATTCAAACACAAATGGTATTTGATGTGTTAAATATTTTGGAAATATTAACAGATGAGTACAAAATCTTCCGCAAGGTCATATACAGTCGGCTATTTTGTATGTTTCATATCGATATATTGCTGATCGTCCTTAAGGCCCGTCAAACTCTAATGACAGGTTGTTCACTAGTTTTCTAGAGAGTATGAGTGACCATTTTTGTTTCGAGATGAAAGTGCGCAGTGAATTGGTTTGTTTTATAGGGCGATGTTTTTTTTTCTCGTTAGTATCGAAAGAAAGAATAACATTATATTTTTCTCTCCATTTTTTTAATCTTAGTGATGTTTTATTTGAATAAATACAAGAAAAATGTAAAGAATTTTCAGTCTGTAAAACAAACTTTCTCTTTACATTTTCCTGCATAAATAACACGTGAATTTACTTTCAATCTCCCTATTATTGTCAATTAAAATGAACAAGAATTATCAAGAGTCTCCACCGTCGTACCGTAGGTTCCGTTTATTTATTAAATTCATCGATTAAAATGATTTCACTTCTAGAAGCTTATCGGGAAAAACCTTCTGCTCCTTATTCACCATTAATCACCTATGAAAGACTATCAACAGACGAGAGAATCGAACATAGTCGGACCCTGGGCTACAACGAAGCAGATTTGGCTATGATTTCGGATCAAAATCTTCGGTCTGTTTCAGTAGGTCATGAGCCCGTACAATGTACTTGTTCGAACTGTCATTCCTCGGTCGTCACCCTCGTAAAGCAAACACCAGGGTTATTAGTATGGCTTCTCTGCCTTCTTATAATCATTGTCGGCTGTTGGCTTGGCTGCTGTTTGATACCGTTCTGTGTACGTGGAATCAAAAATACTCAACATTACTGTCCAAATTGCAAAGTATTAATTGGTGAATATCGTCCGTTATAATCTCAACTAGATTTCATAAATATATTGATCAACATAAATAGTGTTCGAGCGTCTTTTATAATCAAATGTCCATATAAACA